CATATCTCGCTTTGCATGTAATGCATCTATCTCATATATTGGTTTCACCTTTTGAATTGCCATACTGACATAAATGAACATTTGCCCGATACTCTAATTTTTCGAGTTTCACCTGTATGTATTGAGAACAAGATAATGCCCTGTGGCACTCTGTGGTATAACTGTCAGGCTGATGAGTCCCACTCAGTACTACTGATTGAAACCATCCTTTCAAATAAGAATGGAATCACCATAGAATAGTGGTCCCAACCCTTACTGAAGGGAGATTATCTAGAAGTATAGTGTGATGAATGGTATCAAAAGCCATTGCAAGATCATGAAGGATCAAGAGTCATGTACCCTCTGTCCTCCCCCCTCCTCAAGGAGGTAACCAATCAGAATGATCAAGGCTAATTCATTCACAAAATCAGGACTGAACTTAGATAGCATTGGGTCAGATAATTCGTTTGTTCCAAAAATGTCTAGAGCTGGACAGACAGTGCCCTCTCCTTTATACTTTGTTCAGAAATTGGGTACTAATGAATAGGTGTTAGTTAATATAAACCTCTAGATTCAAGACAGCTTTTATTTTTTATGTTTTAATCTTTATTTATTTTAAAGATTAAAAAATACCTTTAAGCTGCCAGCACCCATTCCAATATGCAAAAATGCATCCACCACTTCCTGGATCCACCCAGACATCCTCGCTCAGTTATCTCAAATAAGCCAGATAGATAAGAGTTATGTTCTGTATGTATTCCTAGATTTTAGGAGTGCTGTACAAGACCAATTAGCGCCAAAAGGAAAATAGGAGTATCCACTAAGAGCATATGCAGTGAGGACATCCTTCCTACCACAAGTTCAGCTGTTGGGGTTTCAGCAAAGGTGGAGAACTTCAAATGAATCAATGCATACATGACCACTGACCAATCGCAGTAATAAGGAAGCACCTGTTTGTCTTAGTGTATTGTATCTTTATTTAATGTTATTGTATCTCACACTATATTTGATGGGAACTACTTTGAGCATAGTCTATGAATTTTTTTTCCCCCAAGTTCTGGAAGGCCCTTGAGACCTTCTTCTCTTCCTAGGCCTGGGGTTAGTGTGTTTGTGAAGCCTCTGTTGTGCTTTTTGATTGTAATGGTTTTTTTTCAGGCTGCTATATTTTGTTGTTATGTTTTTAAGAGTCTTAATTGTAGTCTGATGCCATCAGTCTTCTGGAGTGGGTGGCCATAATAAATTGATGATGATGATGATGATACCTGGAGACAACAGAATAGAAAAGAAAGAACTGGAGAAAAACACAAAATACAAAGACCTGCAAATAGAAATAGAACAACTGTGGCAAAAGAAAGTAAAGATAGTACCAATAGTAATAGCTGCCTTGGGTGCAATCCCAAAACATCTGGAGCACCACTTGAACACCATCGGCATTGGTAAAATCACCATCAGTCAGTTGCAAAAGGTAGCTTTACTTGCGACAGTCTACATCCTGTGACAATACCTTTAACACCATCAAACAACAATATCTGCCTATCCCAGGTCCTTGGGAAAAACTAGATAGGTGGATAAAAATGCCAAATCCAGTCTAAACATCTGGCTGTGTGACCAACAATAATAAAGTACTTAGATATATTTGGTATAATTAATCAACAGGTTTCAAAAAGCGCATATATATATCTTTGGTTGAGTGATGACTGCATGGATGTATTTGGAGATTAGAAACATTATAGATGATATATTAATAAAACCAACTTGCTATTTTTAGAAATGTGATTTTGAACTTGTGACTTTCTGTTTTTTTTTTATAGATTTTGAGATACTTACTTTTACTTTTGTCATAAATGAAGCAATTTTGAGATACTTACTTTTACTTTTGTCATAAATGAAGCAATTTCATAGATATTACTTGATTTTATTTCCTTTTCCACTCCCTTCCCTGATATGTAGACTGTAGGGAGATCTTGATGCCGATGATGACGGATCAGCTGAAGTATCATTTGGAAAGGCAAGAAGACCTGGATGCCTGTTGCCGATTGCTCAGTAACATTCTTGAAGTTCTTTATAGGAAAGATGTGGTTAGTAACCATTGTATATATTTAATTATGACATTCTGAATTTTTGAAACTGCTGTGAATAAAATTGAGGCTTAGAAATGGAGCATTTGTTTTTCTAATAATGCCATTTACCTAGAGTTCTGCTTTGAATGGTAAAGGTGAAAAGTTGGTATCATGGCATGCATTTGATATGTTATGTTGTACAGTGGTGCCTCAGGTCACGAACGCTTCTGTTCACGACCAATTCGGGTCACGAGCAGCTCCGGTTGCAAAATCTTGCCTCTGCGAATGCCGGATCGGGTCACGAACACGATCCGTGGCCATTTTCCCTCCCGTGACACGGTCCGTGGCCATTTTCCCGCCCATGACACGTCCGCGGCCATTTTCCGCCCCTAACACGTGGTCTGCGGCCATTTTTCCGTCCCTGACACGTGGTCCCTGGCCATTTTTCCGCCCCTGACATGTGATCCGCGGCCATTTTTCCGCCCCTGACATGTGATCTGCGGCCATTTTCCACCCGACACGTGGTTGTAGGGAGGGGGACTCTCCCTCCAAGCAATAGCCGCCTCCCTGTCCTCCACGCCAGAACGGATTAACGGTAATTACATTGAACCTTATTGGGAAATTTGCTTCGGGTCGCGACCAGAGTCACGGAACCAATTAAGTTCGTGAACCGAGGTTCCACTGTACTTAATCCTTATTTTATCAGATATAAACTTTGTTTAGGCACTAGAAGATCTGGAATGCAAGCACTTTACTTCTCTTTGCAGTTGTGATAGCTTGGTGGAAAATGAACTTCAGGCTTTCTCTTGGCTGCAGTTAAGCACCACACTTCAGGATGGTCCATTATATATCATTCTGTAGGGATGCTGTGATAAAAGTGTAGTCTCTGTTCAATAGTTCAGCAGAGACTAAGCTCTGGCACTTTATCCATATGCCTTTATCCATGGACCAGATTTGTATAGATGACTACTTGTTTTTTTTTTATGCAGTTTAAGGGCTGGTTGGTTTTTGCTGCCTTCATATTGCAATTCCGGAAATACTTCGATTCCTAAGAGAAATACTATTTAATAAGCCCAGAGCCACCCAAAGTCACTTAGATGAAATGGGCTGCTGTACAAATAGAATAATAAATAAATAAATAAAAATAAATCTATGTCTAGGAATTAAGAGACTTCTTATAATATTCCTAGTTTCAATGAGCAGAGGAATGGAAAATTATATAGTATGGCCTTGTGAGTGTTGCTCTATCTATGCACTGTTCTACAAGGAGGACTTTAGGTTTTCATGTCATAGTCTTTTGAAGATGGCTTTTAATTGTATTTATAAGCATAGATGTTTGTTTAAAGTATGTGTGTGTATGAGAGAGCACACACAAGTTTTATTTTGAAGTTTTATCATCATGGAAAGTCTGTTGCTTTTTTAGTTTGGCATTGAAAATGGCTTGTCTTTGAAAACCACAAACAAACCTTCTTAGCCATGAGTAAATCTTGTATGTTTGTAGGATAATATGAATCATTAACCTGTGAATTTAAAATACATATCAAACCCCAAAATTGTTTTACCTTCTTAAAACAATGCATATCATATTGACTGTCTCACTAAAAAGAATAGAAAGAGAATGGTTCTCTGAGAGCTACATAGTAGTCTAGGGATGGTGGTGCTTCTGTTACTAATACATAACACAGGAGCTTTCCCAGATGTCACAGACTGGGAGAAGGGACAATTTTAAAGCTTCCTGGAAGTCCCTTTTCCTAAAATGTTCCACTAAAGAATAATTATGACAGCTGCTACCACTTAGACTAATGTCTTAACATATTCTATCCTGTCTAGTTAGGGTGTTCTTAGCTTTTTTCTTTCTTTCCTAGCATTATTGTCAACAGTTTTGTAGACTACAGAAGGTAAATGAAAGCCAGTGGTAAATAGCCCAGTCAAGGCTCCATCTCTGACATCATGCATTAGTCAGCCACATCTGAAAATTATCACCCTGAGACTGAATGATAAGGACACTGACTAGTGCTCATCAGTTGTGGTTTTGTATAAAAATATTATATGGGAGAAGCTGTTTGGGAAATAAGATATGGATTATATCTATTCAGCCTCTCAACGTGAGGCCTATTAAAGCAGATATTTTAAAAGGCACTATTGTATCATACCAAAAAGTGTGAATTCAACACACCCGGTTTAGCAATTCTTTTGTGTGGCTGTCAGTAACTGAATTTATTATTGCACTATTCTTCCATTGCTCCTAAATCTCAATATGCAACTTTATCACCATGATAAAGCTCTTGTGCTTGTTTGACCAAGTTTCTTTTATGCACTGAAAAGGCTTGGGATTCCTTAAAGATTAAGCAAGCAAACTCTTTCCATAAATCTACTTTTTAGCATGCAAGATATATAACAGTGGCCTGTGTTTTAAACCTTCCTGCAATCTTTGCTAAATGTGATTTTGATTGTTAATACAATCCACTGGTGCAGGACTTAATATTTACCCCCCCTCCCCAAAAAAAGTTGGTTGCCATGCACCTTGGGAAATAAGCAATTATCTTCTAGTTTCTTTACCTGCTGAGATTAGCAAAGTTGAAGACTTTTTGCTTAGGAAGGTGCCAGCAGACCTGCTGAGAAGGCAGAGTAAGTAAGAGATGAATAGGCTGAACTGAGAAAACTCATTTTTGAATGGTGACAAAAGTCAATTTCCCAAGGAATTATTGGAAATGGAAGAGAATATTTATTGGTGAAAAATTTAATTATAAGGGTCAGGGAGCAAAGAAACTACTAACAAGCACCGATGATAAAGACAATGAAATCAATTCATCCTTTCTTAAATAGGAAAATAAATACATGCAAAGTACTGATGCTTTTCTTTTGATAATTTTTGTAAAAAGTATAATTTATTAGCAAAGGGGTAAAATAATTGTTTGAAGAACATCTTCATAAAGTAATGTGCAAAAAAAAAAAAAATGCAACAGCCATAATAGCAAACTTTGTTCCTTTGTAATAAAATTCAATTGCAATTGGAGGCAGCTTTAAAAGAGAAGTTTTTATAGGTGCACATCAGTAAAAAGAGAGTTCTCTGTGTGTGTGTGTGTTATTGCCAGTTTTTATAGGCAAGGATTCAGTAAGGAATAATGATATTGGCCTTAGTGTATGGTTCTTCTAGTAGCTCCATTTATTTAAGCTTTTAAGGTCAATATTATTATTATAACTGGCAGTTGGACTAAATTAGTTACAATTTTTGATTTAGCTCTCAACAGCAACTGGTTGGAGTTCTTTTGTTGTAGTTTCCATTATTGAACTCTCTTCAGAAGCTTCTCTATATAAAGCACATTGTAGTAATACCATTTGGAAGTAAACACTGTGTTGGGGCTTTGTACCAGTAGAGTGATTAAACTCTCCTCCTGCTCTACATTCTCAAGCAGATAAATTAGGGTTTCATAAATCAATTTACTGCAGAGAATTAGGAAGTCATCTGTGACAGTGATTCTCAACCTCGGCAACTTTAAGATGTCTGGACTTTAACTCCCAGAATTCCCCAGCCAGCATGGCTGGCTAGGGAATTCTGGGAGTTGAAGTCCAGATATCTGAAAGTTGACATGGTTGAGAAACACTGATCTACATAAAGAAGTTTTCATCTGAGAGCATCCTGGACCTCTGTCCTCATATATATTAGTCCCCAGGTTTAATTCCTGAGCATTTCCCTCCTACCTTTTCAAATCAGTGTCTGTGCAGCTGTGTACTTCCAGGGTTTCTGCCACCTGTCCCTTTTCTATAAAGGGTTCCTCTGGTGTGAGAGTTAAGAGATTCCCTTTTTAGCTGGTGCAAGTTATATACGTGGGGCAAAAAAGTATTTAGTCAGCCACCAATTGTGCAAGTTCTCCCACTTAAAAAGATGAGAGAGGCCTGTAATTTTCATCATTGCAGATCTCCTCTAGAGCAGTGATGTTTTGGGGCTGTCGCTGGGCAACACGGACTTTCAACTCCTGCAGATCTCCTCTAGAGCAGTGATGTTTTGGGGCTGTCGCTGGGCAACACGGACTTTCAACTCCTGCAGATCTCCTCTAGAGCAGTGATGTTTTGGGGCTGTCGCTGGGCAACACGGACTTTCAACTCCTGCAGATCTCCTCTAGAGCAGTGATGTTTTGGGGCTGTCGCTGGGCAACACGGACTTTCAACTCCTGCAGATCTCCTCTAGAGCAGTGATGTTTTGGGGCTGTCGCTGGGCAACACGGACTTTCAACTCCTGCAGATCTCCTCTAGAGCAGTGATGTTTTGGGGCTGTCGCTGGGCAACACGGACTTTCAACTCCTGCAGATCTCCTCTAGAGCAGTGATGTTTTGGGGCTGTCGCTGGGCAACACGGACTTTCAACTCCTGCAGATCTCCTCTAGAGCAGTGATGTTTTGGGGCTGTCGCTGGGCAACACGGACTTTCAACTCCTGCAGATCTCCTCTAGAGCAGTGATGTTTTGGGGCTGTCGCTGGGCAACACGGACTTTCAACTCCTGCAGATCTCCTCTAGAGCAGTGATGTTTTGGGGCTGTCGCTGGGCAACACGGACTTTCAACTCCGAGACAAAATGGGGAAAAAAATCCAGAAAATCACATTGTCTGATTTTTAAAGAATTTATTTGCAAATCATGGTGGAAAATAAGTATTTGGTCAATATCAAAAGTTAATCTCAGTCCTTTGATATTCTTAGTTGGCAATGAGAGAGGTCAAACGTTTTCTGTAAGTCTTCACAAGGTTTTCACTGATGAAAATTACAGGCCTCTCTCATCTTTTTAAGTGGGAGAACCTGCACAATTGGTGGCTGACTAAATACTTTTTTGCCCCACTGTATACTGCATGAAGGAGTGAGGCCTGTCCTCAGTTTTTCAAGTAGGGCTTCACTTTGCTGTATGTATGAAAGAGCTCCTGGATACCTGTAGTTACTGTTTATACATGGCTTTAGCATGGAATACATCCATTATTAGGCCATGACTATTAACATTAAAACATTATTGAAGATCCCAACAAAAGAAAGTTAAATAGATGTGGCATACATTTGGGAATGTATGCTTTCTCCTACCCTTCCCTTTTAGTTATCCTGACTACATCATTCAGAGATGGCCATAGAGCTGAAAAATTTTAATAGACTTCCCATATTCAAATACTGCTTTAGAAAATCAGTACATTTGAGCATTGATTCATAATGAGACTCAAGCAAAGGGATTCAAGATTGTTTGCTACATACATAAAGCTGACTGTTTAACCTTCTTGGACTGCTTTTGGTTATTTCTTTTTGTGTTTTGTTTTTAGGGACCAACACAACGACATGTGCAGATAATTATGGAAAAGCTACTGAGGACAGTAAACAGAACAGTTATATCAATGGGACGTGACTCAGAACTCATAGTAAGTGCTTTTTGGTAAATATCCAAAAATATTTTTGCAATATAGGAAAGTGCATAATCCACTACAGTCCCCTCCTGTAGGATCTAGTATGTTTACAACATTTGGGAAAAATAATAATTTCCTGGTTAATTTCATTGGGATTTATACTAAGCAATTTCCCATTCAGTTGCTGTGAAAGATATGAAATTGAACTCTTGGTTCATTCCAATAAATAAATAACACTTTTGCATTTATGCAATATTTTCACTTTATGATGTCTAGGACTAAATTAAAAATTCTTTCTAAAATAGGAACTATAAGGCCATGATATATATTATTATTTGTATGGAATTGTTTTATTTTTTTCTATTACATTAATTTTGGCTGCATTAAAAACATGGCTGTTTTACTTTAGAACCTCATCCTTCTGTCTTGCTTGTATCTATCTTCAGAGTTCCTTTTATTCTGGGTTTCTCCTGTAAGTTGATGGAGGATGACCACTGGAATTAAGATCGGGGTGTTAGCTGATAGAGAGTGACTGATGAATTAAAAAGGAAAATAACTTTAAAATTTAAAATAGACTAATTGGTGGCAAGTCTCAGAAAAACAGTGAAAAAATGGTATTAAATGATCCATACATTTTACAATAATAAAAACATAATAAAGGAATTGATTACAATATAACTAATGGAATCAACTAGTAATCAGTGTAATAAAGTGAGTAATCAGATGAAGTTGCAATGTAAATGATTAAAATCATAAATGAGATACATAATACATGCACTACATAATAAATCAGAAATTAAAGGATAAACAATGGCAAAAATTATATGAATTCAGATGAAAAGAAATTATATCAAATTCTAATCCTTACATACTCCATTCCCAGTGTAAGCATCCTTAAATGCCGAGTATATTTAAGCATAAAGGAAAGTATGGTATGTACTATTCTAGTGGAGGCATTGAATTTTTAGTTTTCAGCAGGGCCTTGCTGAAGAGGAATTCTCTTTAGTGAAGGTTTACATGAAGCAACCCCTCAAAACTGCTACGCAAAGAGATGTTACGAAGAGAGATGAGACGAGTTGCTTTCATTGCACTGCTTTGTATCCCCTTTCCATCTTCTCCTGCAGAGCTGGCTGAAATGCTTCCAGGCTGGGTGACTTCAGCAAAGGGTACTTGAGCCCTGCAGCATTCCCCAAAGCTGTCCAGCCTAGAAACCTCTTGGGCAGCACTGGGAGAAGCCTTCTTCTGCAGCGCCAGCCTGACAGTTCAAGGCAAATTGTGTAGTCTCTTCACCTTGACAAATAGAATCACAGTAGCTTTTCTCTGCTAAGATTGCAGAGAAAAGTTAGGAAAGGAAAAAGTTCAAAAGAAAAAAAAGTTTTGTTTTGCTTTTTAACCAAGTAAGAAAATTTTTCAGTTTTGGCCTGCCTCTGTCTGCAAGTGATAGTTTCACCTTAGCGGGAATGAAATGTATTTCTGAAATTCATTTCTGTGATTACTTGGATATATACTAATTTGTTTAAAGATTTCCTTGTAGGTAAGATTTCAGTTAGTTGGCATTCTTATCTGTTTTAATATCCTTCTTTGTTAGATATTGGAGCAGTCCTAATGAATGCTCATTATTTGTATTCATGCTTGAACCTTTGTATGGATAAATGATACAAATACTTTATTTCCTAATAATGATCAGATTATTTTGCAGTTTAATCAAAATCTTAATATTTCATGATAATATGAGGTATTCCCTCTCATCTATATAAGTAGGATGCCACATGAAAAAGAACTTCTTAAATATTTAAGTGGAAATGTGCAAGTGTGTTTGAGAGAATGATCTTCTGTATTTCTAAGTCATGAAACCAGTAATTAGAATAAAGATGCTGGTTAAGTTTGCAGGACTATATTTGAAATCAAGTTTTAGATCTTTGTAATACTCCTTTCAGAACAAAAGTCTCCAAATCTTTATCTGGTCAAATAAATCTAGTCTTCCCAATTTAATTTTATAGTCACAAAATATGTGGCTGATATAAATTAGCTACCAATCCTTAAAGTCCCTTGAAGCAGGAGTTTTAAGGAAGAGTTGTTGTTCATTCTCTTTCACTTGTTTTGATGACAGTACTGTATCTTTAAATTTCCTGACTGAAGTGAATGGAGACATATTTTAGTAGCATTGAATTGTCTAGAAATAGAAAAAGGAATTTTTTGGCAGAAGTAGCATGGTTTACTTCTAATTCGTCGAGATGGGAAGCTTACCAGTCATAGAAAAGGGTGTTTCTATGGCCCATTTGACAATAATTTTTTTTTCTAGAGTTCTAGCAATTCTAGCAATTGTGACAATGTCGCAGAGCTCCGCTGTTCAGTTTTATACCATGAGAAATAGAAATTGTCCTGGTGTTTTCAGACATTTCACCTCTTGCTATTTAATTGCTTATTTTATTTGGCCTTTTTCTGCTGCAGATCTATTGTTTTTCCTTTTTTTCCTTGCATCTTCCAGTTTACAGAACTATAAGCTGCTCAAAACAGATTCCATTGTTAGGACCTATTCTTGTATTCTGCTCATAGCAGTATTCTCCTTTACTGACTTGTGACACGACTCTTGTTTCTTCAGTTATTTATATTTGTTTCAATTATATAACACCATATATCCTTAATATAGGAATATTATTTTTATGTTATTGTATAATTAATGTATTGGCTAAACTTCACTGTGGTACATGTGATTTAGCATCAGGAAAATTAAAACTTAATTTTAAATGAAGCCTGGGGAGTAAAACAAGGAACACCACCCCCTCCCCCTTTTATGGATTGTTTTTTAGTGTTTGAGTCCTCCCTGGATGCTAAAACTTTTTGTAATTTTCATTGTTAGTAGTTATTTTGTTTTACTGTTTTTTTTTTAAAATCTTACCAACAGAAGGGAATGTAAGTCCTTGGGCATATAAGTCCTAATTAGTAAGTAAGTAAGAAAGAAAATAAAATGTTTGGCCCTAAGATAAAACTATCAGAGGATGAAGAATGTTTTCATTCTCTGTTTCAATTTTGTATAATAGTTTTCTGATGAAATGGATTGAATTCTATCCAAATTAGAACCGTCTTATTGTTAATTCAGTATCTTTGCCTGTTGTAGCAAAAGCGTCCACTACTTGAAATTGTCTAGATGCTTTAATTTTTGTTTCCTTGGGGATATTATTGGCAGTTTTTGAGCTTTTGAATGTATGGATCTTTGTCTAGTAATATTTGCTTGTACAATTTTGTCATGCTGCTTAGAAGTTTTGTTGATGCTTTTTGGAGGGAAGTAGTATGTGATCTCTCTGATCTTTTAAGCAACAGTACTGGTGATTTTAAACCAGTGTTAGCATGAGGAAAACAGACTCATTTATAGCAGCATTTAAATGAATCTGGAAGGGAAATTGGAAGGAAGTTAGTTTCATTGATGTTTTATTGCTGTAAACCATTTTCTTAGGCCATCTTGAATGTGGGTTGTTCTAGTAATTCAAAAAGCTTAATTCAGAATGCTGTTAGCTGTACTCAGGATGTAATCATTGGTAATACGAGATCAGTGTCATGTATTCGA